GTCTGAGAAAGCTGTGAGTCCTTAGCGGTTTATTGGATGCGACTTTTAAAATTTAGGTCCATTATACCATATGACGGTGGAAATTCTTTTTACTGTTTCAATCACGAATCCACTATTTTTTCTGGAAATACTCTTTTAACTGCATGTCATGCTATTTTTTCTGGAAATATTCTTTTAATTTACAAGAATATTTTGATTTGAAACAGGAAGAGCAGGCTACTTTCTTGTCACCAGCAGAGGATGAAAGTTGTAGGGAAGTTTTTGGTTTTATAAAGAAGCTGAATGTTGTGCCTGATACTAAGAAGGCCAAAACACCTTGTAAGATCTGTCATTTGTCATATAATTTATGAGTGTGTAAAATTTTGCTTTGTACTCTGCTGATTTCGTTGTTTTCCTATGTTGCAGCCTTTTCTAGTGTGCCGCTCATGGGAGGAGACAGGGGCATATCATCAAAGGTAACTTGTGGTTCTGGATGTTGAATGCACATATATTCTCTGCATGTAGTCTCCCTTTTGCGTTCAAACAAGCTTGAACCTAGGACACCTTATGCATACAATCATTTCAGTCATTTTCATTCCAATCTTTATATAGAAATTGATGGAACATCAAGGATGATAAATCATGGCTGATTTTAGCAAGGTTATTGTACGATGATATTGATCATAAGCTCTGCCATTGGTAAATGTTGCAGTCATCCTTCTTAGGCCGGGGATCTAATCATTCACTGCCCTCATCCCGCAAGCATGGGTTGGGCGCAGTTCGCTCTATAATTTTTGGACGAGGTGGCAGCAATAGTAGGAGCACAAGTTCAGTGTTGGAGGATTCTTCAGATACGGTAGGGTCTTTATACGGAATTGAAGTGCATCTAGTTCTTAATTCTTTCCATATGGTTTTTCTGAAAGTTGCACTAGGCTCTTTAGCAGTTTAATTTTCTTCTGATTGTCAAATCATCAATGGCAAATGGAAATAGGAATAACTTCTTGTTGTTATGCCTTGACTCTTTAGTAAGTACTCAGTATTAGATAGAAACCAAAACCATAAATTTTTACCAAATGCTGAAAATGTCTATTGGTTATGGGATGAAATGCAGATTCAGAGAGAGAATCCACCAACCAGGACTACTTCAGCCAGGCTTAGCAATTCCAAAGTAACGACTAGTTCTCAGAAATCGTCACCTGAAGCTGTTGTGCAGACAGACTCATCAGCTGAAGCTGTTCCCAAGGCAAACACATCTGCTGAAGTTGTTGCGCAGACAGACGCATCAGCTGAAGCTGGTGGGAAGAATACGGGCACATCACCTTCGTTACTCAAAATATTAAGGCAGTCTTCCTTGCATGCAAAGCGCTGCACTGAGGAGACTATGATTGGCCAAACCCAAATTGAATCCGTCTTAGCTTCATTCAAGGTGGGCAGGAAACCAGTGCAGACAAAGAGAAGAACTTGATTGTCAAACATTCTTGAATGATGGTGACGTGGACAAACTTTTTAATTGTAGCTTTTTTGTAACCCTTGCCCCTTGATCCGTTAAAAAATGCATTAATTAAAGCATAGCTGACATTTTACCATTTGTATACCAAAGTCCCATAAGAGGTGATGAGTTATACCACCTGCCCGTATTACGATACCACACTAATTACCGGTGAGGAGGCCTTTGCGTTTCGAAGGGACAATTTGTTATTGTTTTGGTGTTTTGGTAAAGGGAAAGAAAATGATGTGCTTCCATAATTCCATGCGGGGAGCGAGGGCCAAACTAGTCCCCGGCCCCAAAGCAAAAAGCTTAGGAACCATTTCCGTGTCACCTTGTTACAGGTCGGTGAGCTGGTAACATCTGGTATATGGATAAATCTGTTGCCACCGAATCTTTCCTCTCTTTTTTTTTTTGGTCCGAATCTTTCCCATCTATTACATAATAATTACGCCGAAAACTGAAATTGTTGCCCTAAAATCGAAAATCTAAAATCTAGAGTCTGAAATCCAATCCAGCTCCGTACAAAAAAGAGACCCAAGTCAAAAGCTCACAGGTCCCTCAGCTGACCCGCATACGACCGCACCGCAGATTCCTCAAAATCTAACACAAAACTTGATCCAAATCCCTCAAATCGCAGATCCAAACACGTCGCAGATCCGCAGCTCAAGCTCTGCTCCAATGGCGAAACTCAAACAATAGCGAAGCAAAATGATTTCCGAGCTGTAATATAGCTTCTTCTGCTCCAATGGCGATTAGTTCTATCAAAGGCAAGCTCATTTTGCTCTACTTCCTTTTCATTTTTTCTTCTCCCTCTTCTGTTTCTAAGATTTTCGTGAAATCTAACTCCCACGATCAAGATCCTTACCATGAACCCGAACCCGATCCCAATCAACAACAGCTCGTATTGCAAAGGCTCGAAGAAGTGGTGAAAAACCTGACCGAAATAGTTGCTAGATTAGAACATAAATTATCGGACCCTCCGAAAAGCTTAGCACCTGCCGATGAGGGTTTGACTTTGGCTCTTCAAGAGAAGGAAAGATACGATGGTCACAAATTGATCAAGCAAGTTCCAGAAGAGGGCTCTGATCGGCGTAAAATTGGAGAGAGGGCGAGGTCAGTTTCGGTAACCAAGTACAGTCCGTTCTGGTCGGACAGGTTTCAGTTTGTTTCGGCTGTGAAATTGGATTCGCAGGCGACTTGTATTCATGTCCTGCCGTTTCGGGATTTCGAGGGGGTTACTAAGTACGTTGCGGTTGGAGATGAGAGAGGGAGGGTTTATGTGTTTCTCAGAAACGGGGACGTTTTGGTTGAGTTTGATACGTTGTTGGGTTCACCCATCATGGCCATGGCTTCCTTCTTGTCGGTTTACAAGAACGAGAGTTTTGTGGTGACAGGGCATAAGAATGGTGCAATTTTGATGCACAGAGTGTGGGAGGGAGTGAGTGGAGAAGAGTGGAGCTCGCTTGTAATGGAAACTGTGAGCAAGTTCGATACTGGGGAAGATGGATTGACCATTGCTATTTTGGATGTGCACCATGTTGGTAGGGTTAGTTATATATTGGCCAGTGATGTTAGTGGGAAAATTACAGTGTTTCGAGAAAATGGTTCGGTTCATGGTTCCACCATGCCCTCCAGTAGGCCACTTGCCTTCTTGAAGCAGCGCCTTTTGTTTTTGACGGAGACCGGTGCAGGGTCTTTAGACCTGAGGAACATGAAAGTCAGGGAGTCTGAATGTGAAGGGTTGAACCGTTCCCTTTCTCGGTACTATGTTTTTGATGCCACAGAGCGGTCTAAAGCATACGGATTTACATCAGAAGGTGATCTGATTCATGTGTTGTTGTTAGGGGATATAATGAACTTCAAATGCAGGGTTAGGTCTAAGAGAAAGTTTGAGATTGACGAGCCTCTTGCTTTTCAAGCAATAAAGGGGTGTTTGCTTATTGTAAGTGGGGAGAAAGTTTTCGTGTATAATGTTTCTACCCAGCATTATGTTAGGGTAGGTGCTCCTCGGATTATTTTCTCCGCCGGTCTCGATGAGATTAGGTCATCTTTTCTTAATTATCAGACCGTGGATGTTGATGCTGAGAAAAGAAATGTGATGCCCTTAATAGCCAGTGACCGGGAAAAGCTTGTTGTTCTTGGTCTTGGTGGAGGGTACGTGGGAATGTATCGTTCCAACCTTCCGGTATTTAAGGGTGAATTTAACACAATGCTATGGACCAGTCCTGTATTCTTCTTTGTGCTTTTCCTGTTTGGAGCATGGCAATTTTTTGCTAAGAAGAAGGAAGCACTCACTTCATGGGGACCAGACGATCCTTTTAGCTCAACCTCGGCTACAACCGGAGCTCCATTGGGGGAAAGCAGCACTGGAGATAGGTCTTTTGTGGACTCCTCATCAAGAAATAGTGACATGATGGATCTTAGAGTTAGTGGTCTCAGAGGTCCATCAAGGAGGTATGCCTCTCCTCCACGGTATACAGGGGCAGCAACCAGTTCATTTAGGCCAGGTACTGCGGATCATAACCCTAGACCATCGTCTGTTGATCCTAATTTTAGAACAGCTTCAGAACTAAAATTTAGAGGTTCCGGGTTAGATTCTTCAGGTTTTCCAAAAAGGAGAGAGAGTTTGTTTGTAAACACCCAAGTGATGGATGATAGCAGTTAGACCTTTATAATAAATTTCATCAACTTTAACTTCAGAGGTTTGTTCAAGGCTTAGTTCCTAGACCATTCATTTGGCAAGTCAGGGCCATTTGAACTTGCACTAGCAGTATTTTGTAACACTACTACAAAGTTTTCAATCAAAATAAAATTATAGAACACTCAATATATTTATAATTAAGAATGTTCTCACTGTATGTTATGCTTTCGCTCTTCCAATAAATGGCCTTGCTTCCTGTAATTTGGTACTGCTTGATTATGTTTGTGTTTTTGTTTTGTTTTTTGTGTGTTATTTATTTATTTAAATATATTTAACTGTTTGTTTATAAGAAAAATTGGCATTTTCCCTACTGAATAAAAGTTGCAACCTGCAGCAATAAACAGCGTCCTTATCAGCAATTTAATTTAAATTATGTTTTAATTGCACTCGCGAAATACCAAATTAAAAAGCAATGATAAAATTGATTTCAAGTTGCCTTGCAAATTAAATAGGAGTGGGAAGTTATGCATAATGTTCACTAGGAAATCTATCAAAAGATCTCCATGTCTGATTATCAGGACGGGTCGGGTCAGGTCAGGTGCTTCTCGTTCAACTATTAAAGCGACCATAGCTATATATCGGCAAAACCAAGTGTTTGAGAAACCTATACTTTCACATAAAAGCCCTGATTTTCTCGACGAAGAGTTCAGGACCAGATAGATAACTAGATTTGGAGGTCAGTAGAAGGCAGCAATGGGTTCGACGTTGCTTAGCCGTTGAACATTCGAAGCTTCATTTATGGCCGTTAAATTTAGAGCGTCAACCACACAACAGAGCGAAATAAGTAAGCTATAAAGCTACAACTATATGCTCTACTTGAAATGACGGGGCAATGTGACCTCCCTCCTATGGGGGCTGCAAAACAGTGCTTGCCATTAACAGCCACAAACAAGTTATGCACAAATCACCTTCCAGGGGATATTTACGTCTTTTTCACAATATATGAAATTTACGTCTGAAGCTAATCTAAACAATTAATTCTCATAACAAGTAATTCTCAAGAAATTGGAATCGCTACAACATGTAATGGGAAAGGGACACCTATCAAAATGTATAGAGGTGAAAACAAATTCACTGTTCAATTTCTGAATCAACGTCAAGAAAGATCAGACAGGAATTGGCAAGCCCTTCTTTGCCATGCTGTCCAAGACGTCATTGAGCGCTTGACACAGGCCAACAATCTGCAAATAAGAAGAAAATTTGAGCATTTATATGATACATGTGGTGCTTAAAAACTACCTTACAAAAATGACAAGGCAGACACATTGATATCAGTTTGTGAATTTTGAAATTGGACACTACCATATCTGATGCTAATTAACGCAGACAAATTTACCTGCTGATCCCATTGTTGCAGCTCTTCAGTGTCGTCCTCAAAATGTATGACAGCTTCCACCTGTTATAAACTTATCAGATACATGCTAAGATGTGCGCTAGAATAAAAGATTGTCACAAAAAGCCACATATTTAGAATGGATTACAAAATCAAACATTAATCTGAATCTCATCCCAATAAAAAATTTCCCTTGCATCAAATATTGGAGTTTTAAGTTCCTCATAGTGGAAGCAGCATTCATGAAAACAAAATGAAACTCTGGGTCATACAGTGGATTGATGAACACTTAACATTCTTCCATATAATGAAACTGGAAGAGGTTCTCACAACTAAGGAGGCCTGATTTCTACGTCATAAGCACTGATGATTTAAAGTCCTCGGTTGGCATACACAACAATTTGTAATTCATACCTGATCAATAGATCCCCTCATTCTGTCCTCATAGATCATTTTTGATGCAATCTTCTCAGCCTGCAAGCCAGATATATAATCCATTTGAGAAACATGAATGGTAATATAGGGAGAGACAGAGAGGGCAGCAAAGTGCCCAACTCGACAGAAGAAAACTGTACCTTATGAGGTTCAATTCCCAGCAAAGTGCCCAACTCATCAAAACTGCCACATAACTCGGGATAATTAGACCAAGTTGTCCCCCTAGAATAACATAAATCAAAAAGAAAAATCAACAGCAACATCTCTCCAACCTTATATTTGTGTAAAGTTTGCTGGCACTGAGAAGATTATGTTCAATCATTGCACGATCTAACACCGTAAAGTTGTCCGGCAGAAGCGCTTTCTGTTCAGATAAATAAGACAACTGTTATGGCCAACGAAAAGTAGTTTGCAGATACAATATCTGAAATAGAGGAGAAGAAAGTTTATAACCTGATGCGGCTTTAACTCTTCAGAAAATGCATCAATTTCTGGTTTCCTCAAAATTCTCTCCAAATACACCTAAATAGCAACAGTTAAAGTGTAATATAGAGTCAGGAGAAAAAAAGAAGAAAAAAGTAAAAGATAAAATATATATATGAACCAGAGAGCGAGCACCTTTTGTAGTATTGGATAAATTTTTAATTTTGAGCATCTCTCATCCTGAACCAAAACCCCAAGGTATCAGAATAATGTGAAATGAAGAACCGCATTCATATATATATATATATATATATATATATATATATATATATATCTCCCGGTAAAGAAATTTACTTTGTACAGAGTGGCAAGAACACGAGAACGTTGGGGTCCTGCCGCGGCCAAAATTGTACACGTAACTGCAGCAGACAAAGCTTGCTCCAATGCTTCCTCATCAATCTCTCTGAAACAAAATGAATGAACTTCTATGATCCGTCATTCAAATGTTACGGCCAACAAGAATGAAAAAGTGGGGAGGATAAAGGGGAGGGGAAAAGCAAACCACAACTATTAATGAGTCTACCAGATAAATTATTCATACACAATATGCTCAATTTGCAAAAGTCTAGATCAGTTTAACTTGGCATAGTCATGTCCTAATGGCCTCTTTCAGAAACCACAACTATCAAGTCAACCAGATAAACTATTGATACTCACATACAAATCAAAAGGAAATTTTGCACAAGACTAATCAATTCAACTTCACATACTCATCTCCTATTTGCCTCTTTTCAATCTGAGAAAATTCATAATAACGTAATGCTGCCTCCAAGAACCTCCTCTTTAAATCTAAAATCCTCGCGTAACAAACCTGATAAGAGGGAAACAAGGGGGAAAAGCGATTAAAAAGTGCTTTTAGCATGTAGACTTTGATGCAAATGTTTTCACTAACTACCCAACAATGTCAAACCTTATACTGTAAATTCAAAACTTCATGCTGAATAGAGGTAATCAAGAATGAAGCTTTATGAATAAAAGCTTCTGCATTGACGGCATCATCATCCTGCAAAACAAACATACAAAACCTTCAATTACAATTACACTATCACCTATATTATTAGCATCCTATAGACAAATCTTTTGATTCCAACATCAATAGCAGAAAATGTGCATAAAAAAATAGTCATAGTGGATACTGAGGCATATTTCTCCAATGAGAAGGCAACCATCTAGATAAAACAACTCTTAACAATCAGAACATGGGAATATTGCAGTCATCAACTTGTCAAAAGTTTCTATATGCAGACGCTCATGGTCCAGTCTGGTATCTTATCAATTGAGGATCACAACAACCACCATTCCAAATCACAACATTTGTATCAATGAAGAAAAATAAGCCAATACCTCAAGATATAGGCGAGCAATTTGGACACACTTTGATAACTTGAATGTATCATCAACCACTCTGAAGGAATACCACGAAAACATATAGACTGTTAATTCCAGAGTCCATTATGAGAAAAAATACACACTAAAAGCAAAAGTATCTTACTATCAGACCTCATTCCAGAGTCTAGATTAATGCCACTGAGCATCTGAGCTGCTTTTGACCATTGTTGCTCAGACTCGTACAATTCCGCGAGTTTCTCTCTTATGATTAGCACCTGCAACACATGAAACCATATGGTACTTTCTAAATCAAACTAACCCCAAAGTTCTAAAATTAAAATAAAAAATATTTCCTTAAATGAATGGATTGGTCACCACCAGCAATCCCTATATTCTGTACATGGGAGAATGACATCTACATCATTCCTAACAATGCGGGTAATGTGAAATCCAATCTCAAAGAATTTGAAGAAAATAAATACAAAGGACTGATTCTCGATATTAATATATAGATGGGGACTCATAGAAGTTCCAAACGAACCTGCTCTTCAAATGAAACGGCTCGAATCTGAGAAAGGGCATAATGGGCAATCTCCTTCTGGGTCTCCGGCTCCCACCGCCCTAACTCTTGAGCAAAATTCTGCAAAAGTTGCCGCGAAACCACCAAAGGAACATCCTCCGACAACACTGGAGAGTAGAGTAAGATATACAAGGCTCAACAAGCTGCTAAAAGGAAAAAACGAAGTCTGCAAAAGTTAAGAGAGGGAGTGAGAGTGAAGGAATATAACTGTGATCGATGAACTTCTTGGCCTGAACGACGTCGCTTGAGGAAATCACGGTGGAGAGAATGTGCTTGTACTGCTCGATCTTTTGCCTCTGGTCAGAGATCGCAGAGGCGCTCGCGAAGGCACTCTCCATGGTTCTTCGGCCTTGGCTTCGTCACTGGGGGTTTGGTTATGGTGCAAACCCTAAACCCTTTGAGAAAATTATCGTTCGGTCCACTTCTTCTACAAGGCTACGGTGGCGTTGGTTCCGTAACCTCTTTTGACGGTAAGTTTCAGGGGCTCATCATAGAACAAGGAGCAGTAGTTGGGCTATTTGCATCCAAGTGCAGTGTTGCGTTATTTTCCAGCTAATCCAGAAACGACACGTAGTGAGTACAAAGGGTAATTTTGTCACTAGATTATTTATCCATTGTATCGGGCCCCGCCTGGCCCTTTTGGGTGGAATATTCCTATTTTTGATTATTTTAGAGGAGTGCCATAATAATTTTCAGATAAAAAACCATAATGGTTAATTAGTAAAAAAAAAGACTAAAAAACAAAAGAAAAATATAAAACTTCATCTGTTTCGACTTTTCGATGCTATTTTATTTTTTTGTGCAACAACTCCTCACAGGGGAAAAAAAAAATGAATAAAGAGGCACAAACCGCCATCAATTATTTGTTTAATTTCTTTTTAGATACAAGAAGTGCATTTAAGAAAGAAAAAAAAAACTGGAATACTTACGGAAACAAAAAGAAACGGAAAATTCTGGTATAGTTGTATCATTTGGCTTTCTGCAACGGGATCGTTTCTCTCAGGCTCAGGCGACCCTTTGCTTCTTTACCTGAAAAGTGAAAACGGAGAACGGAGAACGGAGGAAGAGACATATCGATCTTCTGTGAATTGCAAATTGTAATTGCCGGAAATGGATGACTCAGGTTAGTGCCGGCGATTGTTTTACCTTTCTCTCTTCGCTTTTCTAGAGTTAGTTTAATATTTCCTTCAAGTCGCTGCTGTTCAATTTTTACCGTTATCTTGACGAATTACTCTGTTTCTTGATTCCTCAATGCACTGTTTGGTTCCTGAGAAAAATGGCGGAATGAGGTAGAAAATATAAGAAATTAAACTTGAAATCTTATGATCAACGGTTATAGTTCGACATCAAATGACGTTTAAAACTTTTCTTTATTTCACTTGTAATCACCAGGAAATTGAAATTTTTTTCTTCTTTCTTCTTTTTAATTTTTTTGTTTTTGCTTCTAATCGTGTAGGGCCTTTTGCATTTGCGTTGCTGTTTTTACTTTTTGCTTAGGCGATCGACAATGGTTATTTACTTGAAAGCTGTTAGTAACTTCCAATTTTGTTTTGTAGGGTTTACGATTTGGTTTTTCTGATTGGATACAGATTACAGAGAGCCTTTAAGTTGAATTTGCCTTCAAATTGAGTAAATACTTTTGAATGTAGAGATGCTTATGTAATTATTTCATATGAACTGATTTGCTTTATTCTTTGAACGTTGATACACCTACCAGGGAATCCTCAGGACGTCAGTGTACCACCAGTTGAAGGTGTTGCTGGAGGAGGGACGGCATATGGATGGACTGATGGCGGCTTACAAGGTTTAAATCCACACAAGGGATCAGTTGACCCTACAGAGGTTCCAACTGCTGATTTAGTGCATGTGTGGTGCATGCCAAGTACAGCAAATGTTGGGCCACAAGAAATGCCTAGGAATTTGGAGCTGGTATGTATTGTTCCATGATTTAAATGGTGTCTTGCTAACTAGCTTCTGAATAGTACGAATTTCTTGACATTTATTCAAGAGCTCAGGTGGCTTATTGTCACACCTAATGTAATTTGGATTACAATCCTTCACCAAATCTAACAATGTGTAGTGGAATTTTTTATTTTTTATTGTATCAATTTGCACATCAATATTTTCTTTCCTGGCTATATGCATATTCACTTGAGACTTACTTTTGTTTGTTCCATTTAGTTTCTGTTAAAATATTTAGGAGATATCATACATTGTAAACACCGACATATTGGTGACTTCTTTACTTAATAGAAAAGGGTAAAGCACATGTCCTTCTGTTTTTTGAGGTATTCTAGTCTTCTGGCTTCTAAGGTGGGCTTATTTGAAGGTTAATCTTCTGGCTGCTAGAAACGAGAGAGAAAGTATTCAAATTGCAGTACGTCCAAAAGTTTCCTGGGGTGGTCTTGGAAATGCAGGGGTTGTGCAGGTCCAGTGTAGTGACTTATGCTCCACATCTGGTGATCGGTTAGTTTTTTGAAGTCATATTTTTCTTGCTTCAGGTTTACAATTAATTTTCCAATTCCTTATTTTTTGATATTGGCTGCATGCAGGTTGGTTGTTGGACAATCAATAAAGATGCGGCGTGTGGTGCCCATATTGGGTGTCCCAGATGCTCTTGTGCCTCTTGATCTTCCAGTTAGTCAAATAAGCCTATTACCAGGGTACTGACCACATTAGTAAGCTTTATATTTGGCGTGAAATAATGCTATAAGACAAGTTATTGCAAGAGACTGACACAATGTGTTTTGTCTCCGCACTGGTGCCTCCAGAGAGACAACTGCTGTCTGGGTTTCCATTGATGTTCCTAGTGCGCAACCCCCAGGAGAGTATGAGGGGGAGATCATCATTACTGCTACAAAGGCAGATGCAGAGTGAGTCTATTCACATTTTTTATTTCAGTTGTTTGAGTGCTGTGCTTTTGTTTTTACTCAATAAGTTATTACTCTCTTAGCTCTCTAGCCATTTAGTAGTATTGAATTCCTTTCCATATACGTTGATATATGAACACGGAATTTGCTACAATTATTGATTCTGACTTGGACCAGGATCCCTTCACAATGTTTGGGCAAATCCGAGAAGCATCAGATTTATAGGGATCTTCGAAGCTGTCTTGAAATGGTGGAGCCCATTGACGGAAAACCGGTGGATGAACTGGTTGGTTTCCGAATTGAACTTCGTACATAATTGTATTATTCTATTTAATTTTGGCGGTGTTATTAACTGTCCATTTTACCATTTTTCCTTTTTAGGTAGAAAGACTGAAATCTGCAACAACATCTTTAAAAAGAGTTCTTTTGTCGCCATTATTTTCAGAATTTGTTTCATATAATGGGTCAGTTGATATGATGGAGGAAGATGCTATTTCGAGCCTTTCAGTACGTGTGAAGATTCATATGACAGTTTGGGACTTCATTCTTCCTGAAACTCCATCACTTCCTGCTGTATTTGGCGTATCCTGTCTTAATTTAATTTTTTTTTCTAAAGTTGGAGATTCGTTATTTAACTTCTGACATATTTAGTGGTAGTTTGCTCATACAAGCAGAGGTCTAGTCAATATGGAATTTAAAGGAAATAGAGGCAAATGTGCACTAGTTGTTTTAGTATAACTAGATTTGATATCTATACATGACATGAGCTTAAGAGGGAAGTTCTGAACTATATACTATATTAATTCAAGTAACTGGGAAGCATAAAAACTTATTAGTAAGTGTAGAATTTAGAAGTGGAAACTTGAGAATTTCTGTCTGCAAGATAATACCCACATGTGAAGATGTAGATGTGCTATTCTTATGACAAAGACCAAAGCTCTGTAGAAAATAATATAATGTTCCATGTTCTACCAATGTATGATCCTAATCATGTAATTGCATCTTTAACCATATGTTAGATATCTGATACTGTAATTGAGGATCGTTTTGGTGTTGAACATGGGAGTGATGAGTGGTATGAGGCATTGGATCAGCATTTTAAGTGGCTTCTTCAATACAGACTCAGCCCATACTTTTGCAGATGGGGTGATAGTATGCGTGTCTTGACATATACCTGCCCTTGGCCAGGTACTTATGAGCAAGCCATAAGTTACTCTTCTATTATCAATTACTTATGCTGTTAGCTCTGATTGCTTAAACTTTCTCATTTTGTTGCCATTAATAAATGCCTCCTAAGAAAGATGCATTAATTGCTTTACTGAATCTGATGTATTTTGGATCCCTTTATTTCTTTCTGTTGTAGCTGATCATCCAAAATCAGATGAATATTTTTCAAACCCACGATTAGCAGCCTATGCTTTGCCATATAGTCGATCTGTCTCTGGGTATACAGCTAGTCATCCAAGTTCACTTCTATCTGGTATATGTGTGATGAAAACTGATGAGGTTGTACCCATTTGCTGATGTGCCACAGCGGTGATGCAGCGAAGGATTACATGCAGAAACAAATTGAGATATTGAGGACAAAGTCTCACTGGAAGAAAGCATATTTTTACTTGTGGGATGAGGTATGAACACTATTTTGCAAACTGATAGGAAAGTGAGCTTTTTTGGATTATGTTGATGATTCCCCCATTTCCCTTAATTCTGCATAAGTTTTTCAATTTAGAATTATTACTTTTTCCAAATGGACAATTAATTTGTAGAAAGTTAATATGCATGCAATAATATATGCCAGCCACTGAATTTGGAGCAATATGAGTCCCTTCGCAGCATAGCCAGTGAGATCCATGCCTACGCTCCTGATGCTCGTGTTTTAACTACTTACTACTGTGGTATGAATTCATCCGTTCCTTATAATTGAATGTTTTTAATTATTGTATAAAGTTCCATGGGTGGTAGTATGACTCTGACTGTTTGTTTTGTTATGGTGAATGTGGTGTATATTTTACTATATTTTGGCCCCTTCTACTTGGCTAGTCTTTTATATTTGAAGATGTTCTTATATTGCTCTTTTCTGCCATGTAGGACCAAGCGATGCACCTCTTGCACCCACTGCATTTGAGGCTTTTGTAAAAGTTCCAAAGTTTTTACGCCCACATACTCAAATTTATTGTACAAGGTGGTGTTTTCCATTTGTTTTGTATGTGTTCACTAAGGAACCTTTTATATATGAAAAGTTGAAATTAAAATCTGTGGTATTTGACTTCTGTTGCTTTCTAATTTTTGTCAATGCCAATGTCTGAATAAATACAATTTGGTTTGAAATTTGCAGTGAATGGGTGCTTGGTAATCGAGAAGATTTGGTCAAGGATATTATTGCTGAAATACAACCAGAAAATGGCGAGGTGATATGACATAAATTTTGCTTGACTCATCTAATTTCTTTGGGGAACTTTCTTAAAATCTGGGCTCCCTTTATTTTATGATTGTGGTCTTTGTTTTTGTGGTTTGAATTTGTTCTTCCTTAATGATTGCAATTAGGAAAACATGGTCACTGTACATTTTCTAAGAATTACGTTTTGATGCCTAGTTATAATCCTTGCATCTCATTTGTTACCCGCTGAAGAATGTGAACTCGTCAATGTTGTAGGAATGGTGGACTTATGTGTGCATGGGACCGTCTGACCCCCATCCCAATTGGCACCTTGGGATGCGAGGTACTCAGCACCGGGCTGTAATGTGGCGTGTATGGAAAGAAGGTGGAACAGGTTTCTTATATTGGGGTGCCAATTGCTATGAGAAGGCAAATGTTCCAAGTGCAGAGGTACTTTCCTGGCATCTAGATGATTTATGACATTAATTAACAATTATAAAAAGCTACTTCCTTACAATTTGCTGATAAATGTGCCTTTGAGCAGATAAGATTTAGGCGCGGTCTTCCCCCTGGAGACGGAGTTTTGTTCTACCCTGGCAAAGTGTTCTCATCATCAAATGAACCAGTGGCTTCAGTCAGACTTGAGCGCATTCTCAGTGGCTTGCAAGTAAGTGAAGCTTATTGTGATAATTAGTTTATCCCAAACCGGTTTGTTTTATTCTTCCTTTTCTTCTTCTTTAACGCATATAAAACAATCTTGTACAGCAATCCATGCATAGTTCCTTGAAAATGTTGTTTGGTAATATATCTAAATCATTAATCAAAATTACTGAAACTTTTACCCAAAGAAAATTCATGCTTTAACCATCAAATTCATTTTCATTATAATTAACCATTAAATTAGTCTTCCGTAAAATGTCACCCAACGTTTATGGATCTGGAACTCTAAATCCTGATTCTTTTCCTGCTCCAAAAGTTTTGAATTTTAAACTAGTGTGGTGTTTCTTTCATATAATTCCTGTTTCATGCTGATTAGACATTTGTGTGGGTTATCAGGACATTGAGTACCTCAGACTCTATTCTTCAAGGTATGGTAGAGATGAAGGGTTGGCTCTCCTTGAAAAGACGGGCTTGTACCAGGGTCCGGAGCGCTACACGCTTGAGCATATGCCAATTGATGCGATGCGGGGTGAGATATTCAATGCATGCCGGTCATGAGAAAATGCTGTATGCAAAAGGGATGTGGTAGAGTTGTTCAGGTCAGGCATGATTAGGTCTTGATGGTCGGCACACACTTCCAGACATGCCTAGACTTGAGATCAACGTTTTTGCAGCCAAGCCTGCACACGATCATAGATGTTTTTGTCTTCCACAACTACCAGTTTTGCATTTTCCTAACTTTCATAATCATTTCATGTTAATGTTAATGTACAGAGATCATCTAGTCGGATCCTTTATTTTTTCCCTAAATTTGATTGATTGACTGTATAGATGAGAAACATGAAAAAAGAAAAAATGTTTAGAAGCTAGAATCTTCTTGCTACTTTTTTGTGTGTACCCCCTTGTGAAAATCTTATGCAAGCTATCGTCCATAAATACGAGACGGCCTATTTTCTGCCAAACATCATCATCTCACTGATAGATACTGCTGGTTCTATGCATTTAGCAAAAACCCAGAAAACAAGAGAGATATGGGATCTTGATCCCGCAAGGGTCAAACAATTCAAAAGGTCGACATATTCTCAAATCACCCAGCTTCCCTCTTTTTATCTCACCCCCCCAAATAGCCTCTTTTTACCTTCAATAATTAGTAGGCCATTGACTCCTGCATTCACAAAGCAAAGTATTGTGGACCCCCACACACACAGTGCAACAGACCATTATATAACAAAGGGGAAAAAGGCAAGGGAAGGGAAGGGAAGGGAAGGGGGCCATGTAAAACTCAAGATTCAAGGTGGACCTTTTGTAGCACATATTGGAATCAGAAAAGGGAGGAAAAGCAACAAGAAGATAATCAAACTAGTGATGATTGCCTGTTGCTGTGTGTAACTGTGCAATCTCATTTAATCTTTTTGATATAATGCCAAGCCTCACAACCTTACAGCTGTGCATTTGTACAATCATTTTATCTCACTGGTCAGGAATGAATGCACATATGAGAAAGTCTCTTCTCTATTAATAAGAGATGCTCAGCCTTTCCTTCCTTCACCTTAATAAAACTTGTCAATAAAATAAAAAAAGATTGCTTTGAATTTGAACAACATGTTCTAAAATTTCAGCTTTCTATTTGCTTTGAGCCCATAATAATTTCGAATTTTAAACCAAGTCTTTGTTGCAGCACCCTTTGTAGACTCTTGTTTCCTGTCACATCCTGGTTTTGCTTTGAATTTAGTCCATGAAGAAATTTGAAACTCCTATCCAACCACTCTTTCCCTTCCCAAAGTGAAAGTTCCACGTCTCTGGTATTGGATTGGCTGAACCTTAAGAAATGTACTTATCTGAATATGCGTAATAGGACATAATTAAATAGATGCGTAGCCGCAGTGGCCTTTTTTGTAGAAAATGTTTTTCTCTTTCCAAGTCAAATTTACAAGGATAAGTAGTAAGTTTTCTTTGAACATAATCATTCCAAGTTTGATCCCATTGGGTATTGAATTATGATCTTAGCAGAAATTAATTCGTTTTTAAATCATGACATTGATTAACATTTTCTTTATTTGGTAAGCTTTCATCAATCCCACTTGTCTTTTTCTTTGATGGATTATATATATATATATATTATGTTTTTATAATAAATTCATTATAAAAACAGCGGAAAGCTGTGCTTGTTTTTGGGGTCAGAAGTCTCTCAACACTATGAAACAAAAAGAAAGAACCAAACGAAACAAAAATAAAATATAGAGATTAATGTTTCGGCTGAGCCAAAAGGCCCCAAAACAAAACAAAACAAAGCAAGCAAACCAACTTTGTTTTGACTCATTCAGTTTGGGAACAAGTTTGCTTTTGCACAACCCAGGTTGTGGCTGCACTGTTTTCTTCCTAAATTGGCAGAGCATAAATGATGAGCTTTAATGTTAGGTGGGATATAAAATATAAAATATAAAAAACAGAGGTTCATAATCGTAATTAAATAATTATTTGGGGCTAACTTCCTTTAGATTATGTTTAGATTAGATGGAAATCTGTGTGTAGTGTGTTCATACTAAGTACAAACAAATAGCAGATCAGATGCAACTTTCTTTACTTTCTTTGCTTGCTTTTCTTGCTTTTCTTGCTTTTCTTCATAAAAATAATGTCCATGGTTCTAATTATTTGAGTATAATGACCATCGCAGATTAAAACAATAGCATAAAGTACCTGTCAACGATTTTAAACAAATACTAGGGCTGTGTTGGCTGAATGCATCTGGGCCGTCCATCTCAGCATCTGGAAACTCCCAGTTTGTGGGCCCCAAGTTCTACGGACCGTCGACGGCCTGCAACCAGTCCACTGTGTCTATTTCTGATTAGTATATACTATACAGCAAAAAGTCCAAATTGCCACTGGGGCTTGTTCTCATGATCGGACTTTTGAAAAAGATGGTGGCCTTTGCGTAGCTGTCCATTTCGAGATTTAGGGTCTACTGGGAAAGACAAAAGGGTATTTGCCTTTTCAGGCAACATTATATTATTCCACCATCTTCGCTTTGCATCTGCCCCATCTAACGTCCACAACACCAGCAAGTCCATTATATTATAATGGGCTTTGAAGCAGGGTATTGAACCTCTTTAGTGGCAGACTCAAGCACGTGCTAATGACTCACGAGGGCTTCAGTGACATTTGACCTCCATTTGGTACTGTAGACTGTGAAGCACAGGTAAGCCCAGACCCACAAGGGCAGTAATTTTGACGAGGAATATGCCCTATAAAAAAAAAAGCAACAAGAAATCAGACAAGGTTTTCAAGAGAATCACAAGAAAGCCACTGTGGATCGGGAGTGTGGGCAAAACGTTTAAATTGTCTTGTCCACATTTCACTTGCTCGTCCTTATCGGCTCAGTGGCATTACTGGTAATTCAAGGATAACACAACTCACTGGAAAGACCGAAACATCCTGCGTTGCAGAAGCAAGACGGTGGGTTCAGTAGGGTTGTAAATGTCTTTTTTAGGCAATGAGAATTAGGCAAAGTTTATGTCTCTATATAAAAAGGTTTAGTAATAGGATAGAAAAATAGTTGGGTTTAGCCTTTTGTGCTAAAAGACAAGCACCGCCTAGTCCGACTTCCTCCGACAAATGACATCTGCCAGCTTATTGTGACACGTGGACGGCCAGATCGAAACTATCAGCGACCGGATCAGACTTGGCTCATTGGGCTCAGGTATATTCCCTAACCACGGTTAAAAATATACTGCTTCAAACCTTAACCGTGGTTAAATGCCGCCGCTTCAACCCATTTTTCAATATATTTAATTTTTTCCACTCCGTTCAAATCTCTTTCTCTCTCTACTTGTATCTCACACTCTCTCTCTCTCTCTCTCTGTCAGCTTCCTTCATTTAAATTCCAGCTATGGAGCCGCCGCCTAATGGGACTTTGGTTCTCCGTCCATGACCTCGATGACTGAGTTGAATCGGTGTTCCCGTTGGTTTTCGTTGAACGAGCAAAGAGTCTAGTAATTCAGCTCGAGCAATTTGGTCGGTTTTTCTCGGGAACAATCAGAAAGTGTTTGCTTATTTTAAACAATCAGAACTAAAACCCCAAGTAGTTAGCTTGTTCTATAGGCTTTGAGCTCAGAGATTGAAGTGAAGGGAACAAAAATGGGGGACCTGGACAATTCCTCATCCCCGTTACTGACAGTTTCAACAGCTTCAGGGGAAGCTAGTTTATCTTCCTCTGCTCACGAAACCATGACTCTTCCAGAGCCACCTGCGAAGAAAAAGCGAAACCTCCCCGGAATGCCAGGTATACAAGATCGGAACTCGATAAGCCTTTAATTTTTGCTAATTGACGCTAAAATAACATCTAATATCTTGTTAATTTCAAAATTTTCAGATCCCGAAGCGGAGGTGATCGCTCTGTCGCCGACAACGCTCCTCGCAACCAACCGTTTCGTGTGCGAGATCTGCAACAAAGGGTTCCAGCGTGATCAGAACTTGCAGCTCCATCGGCGAGGCCACAACTTGCCGTGGAAGCTGAGGCAAAGAACAACCAAAGAAGTCCGGAAGCGGGTCTATGTGTGCCCTGAGACCTCCTGCGTGCATCACAACCCGACACGAGCCCTTGGCGATTTGACGGGAATAAAAAAGCACTTCTGTAGAAAGCACGGCGAGAAGAAGTGGAAGTGCGAGCGGTGCTCCAAGAAATACGCCGTACAGTCCGATTGGAAGGCGCACATGAAGACCTGTGGTACCCGAGAGTACAGATGCGATTGCGGAACTTTATTCTCTAGGTGTGTTTGGTTCCCGAGAAACTAAACGAAAAAAATTTCCTCTTTTTTCTAGTATTATTTTCTCGGAAACCGCCGATTATTAAGATGTTGTCGTTTTGTTTGGGTTTTGAAGGAGGGATAGCTTTATAACGCATAGGGCTTTCTGCGATGCGTTGGCGGAGGAGAGCGCGAAGGCTCAAACCCTAGCGATTGACGGCTCAGATGGAAATCAGAACTCCAATCTCAATAATCAGAGTCCGAATCCGAATGCGAAGGGTGTGGTGGCTTCGCCGCCTCCACCGCCTCTCACGCCGTCAAACACTGTGGTGTCCCCGGCTTTGTCCATTCAGAGCTCAGGTAACAATAAATAAAGTAAATAATTGTGTTTTTATGATATGATATGATATGATAATCCATATGATCATAATGCCACATGGCCGCCTTTAATATCGTATGTACGTCAATGCTAAGCTTGGTAGTATTTGATACGTAAAATGAGTTTTGGGTGCATTAGTTTTAGAACATGGGGTCAACGACAATCTTAGCGTGACTTAATTTGAAGAGTAATTAATTCTTGAACACCACCAGATTAATTATGAACGTTGAAGTTTCAGTTCAGATCATGTTTTGAAATGCTTTGCCTAGTGATTCAATTCAAGTTTCAACTGCGGCATTTTTAATTATGTGGCTCGTTTTCAAAGAAAAACAATTATTGTAGTTTAAGAAATAATGAAGGCCGTGCATTTTATGGCTGTGTTTTGTCTCTTCTTTGATGTCGTTCTCGCGTGGCTGAGTAGGCTTGGAAAAATGCAACTTTCACATTAGGTATGGATGTAGGGATTGAGAGAGAGAGAGAGAGAGAGAGAGAGTAGTTGTCCCACGGCGACAGGCAATGGATGGATGCACGATTGATAAGGGAGCTCTAGAATCGAGGTTTAAAAACATAAAAAAAAGAGAAAAAAGTTGAGGGAAAGGACGCCATTATTGTCTGAGCCTCTCCTTTCTTCTTTCTCCTTTTTGCTTATAAAGCAGGGAGTTTTAGCTTTCAAGTTCTAAGTTGTTTCCAATGACGACTTGGCAAAAAATTTAAATGAATTATGCGGCCCTATTCATGTCTGCGCCTTGCTTTCACTTTGCTTTTTATATTTGGATTGCAACATTGCCCGTGTATCTTTCCATGCCTGCTTTTGTACAATTAAGTTTTGTTTAGTTCTTCTTCATTATATGTATGTATTTTATATTCATAATTATTTAATTATCTTCTGTTTGTTGACAGAATTGCCGGAAAACCCAATAGGCCTCTCGCCGCCAACGCCAGCCACAACGTGCTTAACCACCACAGCAATTAGCACCACCACTACCACCACCACCACCACCACCACCACCACCTCAACAGGAAACTGCAACAACGGCAGCAGTGTATTTGCAAGCATATTTGCACCTTCCACAGCCTCAGCATTGATCTCACAGCCACCTCAAACATCATCACCATCCTCATTCTCCAATCAAGTCTCCACCTTGGGACGCCCCGATGGCTCCACCACAATCCCAACCGTTTCCTCCATTAATGAACCCACATCCCTCTCCCTCTCCACCTCTCTTTACCTCTCCAGCAACGGCTCCTCCCTCTTCCCAACACCTGAACCACAAGACCATCGCCACTACACTCAGCCCGCTGTCATGTCCGCCACCGCATTGCTCCAAAAGGCAGCCCAAATGGGCGCTGCCGCATCAAACGCGTCATTGCTTCGTGGGTTTGGCTTGGCCACGTCATCCTCGTCCCCATCTCAAGAAAATAGCACGGCGCTGCAGTGGAACAAACCGGAGAGCGGTGGTGGTACTACCCAGATGGCAGCTGGGGTTGGGCTCGAACTTCTCTCAACTGCAAGTGCTGCCCATTTGACTGATCTAATGATGGGCCCACCTTCCCAATTTGGGGGCCAGCCCATGACGCGTGACCTTCTTGGGCTCAGCATAGGTGTTGGCAGCAGCGGCAGCGGTGCTTCCACAGGCGGGCTTTCTGCGTTGCTAAATTCCTTTGGTGGTGGGGGCAGTGGCTTCGACGTTGCAGCTGCAGCAGCTGCTGCGTATGGAGGAGGAGGAGGGGCTGGGAGTTCTCAGAGAGAGTCATGGGAAGGTGCACAAGATAGATAGTCCAATGGGCCTGCCTTGCTCTAGAACAGCCTCATTTTCGTTCCTGTGATTGATTTTGTTGGCATAGGTAAAGAAAGAGAGCGACTCTGGGCAACTCGCTGGCGCTCCTGCTTTTGAAGAATCTCCAAGCGCAGTGGCCTTGTGTGTTTTGTGCTGCTGATTATAAATATATTGCCTAAATTTTGTCTTTTGAATCGTAGCTGTTTTGAGTATTAGCTCATTTAAGTTGTAATCTTTTGTTTTTTCTCGGTCGAAAAAAAGTTGTAGTCTGTAGGGATGTGAATGGGAAAAAAAGCAGTGTACAGGAGCTTAATTTTCAAGTTACTAGCTAGCGTAGCAAAAGTGCACAGCACAAAATTAAGGGAAAACATGTAATGTGCGTCCGAGTCTGCACTACGTAAAAAGTGAGAGATTCAGTTGTCTTTCAAGTTCCTTCTTGTGCGATTGTTGGAATAGTCTTGTGTGATCAGATTCATCTTTGCATCTAGAAATCTAAAACAACAAACTTGTGCACGCAACTGTGACGCTTACGGAATTAAAGATCCACATGGACTGTGGATCGCAATCCGAGAGAGCTGAGGGTTGGACCAGATATTAATTAGACAGAGAGTGAATGATGTGAAGATGAAGATGTATTTAATTTGTGAGCTGGCGGATGCATTTGTTTCCTCCCGCCTGACTGCTCTGAATGAATCTGATCACGAGTGGGTCCGGTGGGGTTAGCTCCTGACGGTTGGTCTCGTTTGGTAGCTGCATTTGCTAATGCCACCCAGCTGCCTGTGCAGTGTACGGTACGTGCTATTTTTCCCGTCAAACGGTCACGGCGGATAAACTACTAGATTAGTATATTAAAGACAGACTTAATCTCGAGTGAGTGTGAGTTTTATCTTATGGTTAAGAATAAAATAACCCCATTAATGATAGACATCTCTTTACAAAACCCCCACGTGTAACTGAGAAGATCCAAGAAATACATAAATAACATAATCACCAAACAAAAAGGTTCTCTCTGTTAGATTTTCCAATTGATTTGTTGTCGGTAATGTTATATAGGATATTTCAAGACTTTCCATTACTTCAAAACCAGTGGGAAATCAAAGAAAATGTTTCATTCACAACAACACAAACATGAGGACACTTGCACAGCATAATCCAAGGAAATGAATTGGATCAAAGATTGACATTTCATTAAGTTTCTGGATATGATACCAAACCAGGGAAGAAAATGGATTTGCGGTTGCAGAGAATTTGAATGAGCTTTAAGATTGTAAGTTCAGTATTTCAGTTTCTTCCTATGCAAGTATTTCAATGAGTTAAATATACAGTCACTTTTGCCTAATTTGACGTTAATCGCGAGCCTTATCGCTTAATCTAGACGGGAAATAACCAAAATCGTTAACAAATTAAAACACAATGAAAATTAAACCAGAAATAGGTATTTAAACTAATTTGAATTATCGATGCTCACATGTTTTTCGGTGCAACTCAACCCTCCGCCGGCTATGTTTCTATTAAAGCAAACATCAGAGAAGGTTAAGCTTGGGAGCCTTGACATCCCTGCTGGCACAATACGATCTATTTTGGCATTGTACATTACTTCAAAACCAGTGGGAAATCAAAGAAAATGTTTCATTCACAACAACACAAACATGAGGACACTTGCACAGCATAATCCAAGGAAATGAATTGGATCAAAGATTGACATTTCATTAAGTTTCTGGATATGATACCAAACCAGGGAAGAAAATGGATTTGCGGTTGCAGAGAATTTGAATGAGCTTTAAGATTGTAAGTTCAGTATTTCAGTTTCTTCCTATGCAAGTATTTCAATGAGTTAAATATACAGTCACTTTTGCCTAATTTGACGTTAATCGCGAGCCTTATCGCTTAATCTAGACGGGAAATAACCAAAATCGTTAACAAATTAAAACACAATGAAAATTAAACCAGAAATAGGTATTTAAACTAATTTGAATTATCGATGCTCACATGTTTTTCGGTGCAACTCAACCCTTCGCCGGCTATGTTTCTATTAAAGCAAACATCAGAGAAGGTTAAGCTTGGGAGCCTTAACATCCCTGCTGGCACAATACGATCTATTTTGGCATTGTACGTTGTCCGTCACTTAAATTGAGAAATATAAGAAAACTTGGCAAATCTTGTAGAATTGCTTAATACTATTTTCTAATCTTTTGTGTTTTCAAAGATACTTTTGTCTACGTCATGCATGATGTATGTGTAGCAATTAGGAAGTGTAGGCTCACTCTCTCATTAAAAGTAATAAATCTTACCCTCTTCTCAAATCTCCATATTTTTCACTCTCTTCTGTCTCTGGGATTTCAAGATGCATCTTGTTCTTCTCCTTGTTTTGCTTGTCCCTCCTCTTATCCTCCTCTTCAAATTTGTGTGCTCAACCATATGGGTCCCACTGAGGACACAAAGGCACTTCCTAAATCAAGGCATAAGGGGCCCGGCCTACCGTCCGATCTTCGGCAACTCGGCCGAGATCCGCCGTCTGTTTGCAGAAGCTCAGTCAACGCGAGGCGTATTTGACCACGACATCCTTCAACGCGCGTCCCCATTTTACCATCGGTGGTCCCGTATGTACGGGAAGAATTTCCTGTACTGGTTTGGGCCGAGGCCCAGGCTGGCAATAGCAGACCCGGATATGATCAAAGAAGTGCTTATGAATACGAGTGGGTCGTTTCAAAAGATACCCTTTACCCCATTAACCAAGATTCTATTTGGAGAGGGCCTTGTTGGGCTCGAAGGCGACCAGTGGGCTTTTCACAGAAGGATTGTGAACCAGGCCTTCAAAATGGAGAGAGTCAAGGTAACCCAAACGCAAATCCCCCTCTTCGTATTTGTAAATTAAATTAATTTAGAGTAGTTTATCGCTTGTATTATATTAATAGTCACTCTAATAGAAGTGAAATTCCGAAAATGGGTATTAATTTCTGATAATGTAAGTTGTACTATGTGTAATATAGTCAAATTTGATTTGCATAATAAGTTGTACATCCCAAGTGCTTTCTATTTGATGTTGTTGTTGGGTTATTTTTCTTTTCTTTAATGCAGGGTTGGGTGCCAGAGATTGTGGCTAGTACCATGAAGATGTTGGAGAAATGGGAGGATGTAAGAGGAGGGAGAGATGAGTTTGAGATGGATGTGCACAAGGAACTTCATGAGCTCTCAGCAGATGTTATATCCAGGACAGCTTTTGGAAGCAGTTTTGAGGACGGAAAGCGAGTTTTCAACTTACAAGAACAACAAATGCATCTTTTCTCCAAGGCAGTCAGGAGCATCTACATTCCTGGCTTCAGGTGACTTTACTTCTCAAATTTAAAGGCAAACTGAGACTGGTTTAGGCCTCATAGGTTGAGTGAACTATAAAGCGTGCTTTCTTTGTTGTATATTGCATCAGGTGGTTTTCTTTCAATAATTGAAAAAGGGATTCAATATCCACCGTGTTTTCTCATCAAATTCATTTGCAAACAGGTTTTTGCCTACCAAGAATAACAGAGAGAGATGGAGACTAGATAAGGAAACTCGTGAATCAATACGGATGTTGATTGTGAATAACCGCAAAACAAGAGAAGATTCAAGAAATCTGCTTAGTCTGTTAATGTCTTCTTACAAGAATCAGGATGGTGAAGAGGAGAAATTAGAGATACAAGAAGTTATTGATGAATGCAAGACCTTCTACTTTGCAGGAAAGGAAACAACTGCTAATCTTTTGACTTGGGCACTTCTCCTTCTTGCGCTGCATCCGGAATGGCAAAGCAAGGCTCGAGAAGAAGTAAATCGCGCTTGTGGAAGCAATAAGCTTCCGGTTGCAGAGAATTTGAATGACCTTAAGATTGTAAGTTCAGTATCTCAGTTTCTTATAAGTTCCAAGACATTGGCAGGGAAATAATTTATTTTTGTGCTTTGGATTAAAGTAGTACTTAAATTATACAAATTTGTTGCTGCTTCCTCTCACATGTTGTTTATTGATGTCCCCTTTTGAACAGGTAAGTATGATAGTTAACGAAACACTTAGACTCTACCCTCCGGCTGTGATGCTAATGAGGCAAACATCAAACAAGGTTAAGCTTGGGAGCCTGGACATTCCTGCTAACACACAACTTTACTTGGCCTTGACTGCTGTCCATCACGACACTGAGATATGGGGAAAAGATGCCAATGAATTCAACCCGATGAGGTTTTCTGAGCCTCGAAGGCATTTAGCGTCATATTTTCCGTTTGGTCTGGGGCCTAGAATATGTGCAGGTCAAAATTTAGCTTTGGTTGAAGCAAAACTGGTCTTGGCAATCATCATCCGGCACTATTCTGTCACGGTGTCACCTACATATGTTCATGCCCCAATGTTGTTTATAAGTTTACAGCCCCAGTATGGCGCTCAAATCCTCTTCCGGAAGATTCCGAACTGAAATTTTTTGGGGTTTATATGTCTTTTTGTACATCAAATGAAATTCTGAAATGAGAAATAATTGAAAGAAGGTTTGTTTATTATGTACATTATCTTAAGGCTCGTAACTTTAGCTAGTAATTCCAACAATACGAACGCTCTTTGGGCTGGTCAGTGAGAAATGGGCTCTTCACATGTGGATTGCCAACCAGGTTTCACCATGGCGCAAGTCGATAGCCACCATAATCATATTTCTTGTTGATTTCCTAATTTCAAGCAAATCCACAAAACTCTCTGACTCTTAGTTGGAATAGGCACGAGCATCTTCAAGAAAGACGACAAAGCCACCACCTTCATTCTGCCAAAATGTGTAAAGGAGAAGAAACAAGAAAATACAAAAGGAACTATTAGAATCCACTTAAATTCTTTTGCATAGTTTAACAATATATTGAAATCCAATGATAATTGATAGGCATATATCACACTTTAACTAAATTAAAAAAAATAAAAATTCATCAACATCCCACTTCCAACTATTTTATACTTTTATTCTCATTTTGCTTATGATATATCTTACATAATCTTATTCTATTTTAATTCTCATTGTACTACACGTGTAAGATCATTATCAGTTTTTTTTGGAGAGTGGGGGCTTTTTCGTTCCGACAATTATAGATGAGCCTGGGCTGCTGTAAAGAGCAAATGGGTGGACTTGCCCCTGTGTCTGAGTTCAAGAATCATACCCCAAGAGTGTTTCGAAAGAGTTGTGGAGCCTTAGGAAATACCTTGGTTTCCTTCACCAACAAAACCAACAGTTGCTTACAGATAAATATATGGCTTGCCTTGAGAAGTTTGTGGTATGGAAGCTAAGCATTCATAAGTTTAGCATCAAAGAGAGAGAGGGCTTGGATTTCCTATGAGAAATAAGGGTTCGAAGTAAGGGGAGAAGGAATTTCGAGAGAATTTGTTGAGGGGAGAGAGGAAGAGATGAGAGAGGAGAAGTGAGTAGTTTGAGCAATTT